TATGATAAAAGAAAAAAAAGAAATTTTACATAAAAAGTTCAATAATTATTTGTTATAAATCTAGTAAAAATACTGGTTACAACTTTCATTCGTTTCACCGTTATATACTATCGGCAAGTTACACAAACTAGGAGTCACTGATAAATGATGCATCAAGATATCCAGTGCTTGATTTCATACAAATTTATATCATTGTTCTCATATTTTTTTTCATTTTTTTCTTTTAAAGAGAATTCAACTTCTTCGTACGTAATAAAACATCAAAATCGATGGAATTTAAACCTCAACTCAACCTAGATATTATAAAACAAGCACTGCTCGTAAAATTCCTTCATAACCTAAACTTTTACGTGGATTGATAATCCTAAAAATCAAACTCAGTTATTGACTTAAAGACGTAGTATAATACAATATAGACAGCTCTCTGAAAAGTTCATGTGAAGTTGGTGCACTTGACAGTAACGATTGTTTCTCTAAACATAGAGTTTCGTCACTGGGCAAAGATACGTATCCCCTTTTTTCGCTGTATCTTGTTCCAATTTTGATAATAGCTATAGAGCAGCAGAATTGCAATTATCGACTAGAGGTGACAGCGGTCCTATTTTTCCTTTACCGCTTCCCAATTTGTCCGCCTCATAGTGTACATCCAAGGACAAACCTTAAATTATAAAAACAAGTATAATTTAGTACAACATATTTTCTATTTGTACCGATACAATATATATATAAGAAACTTTAAGTATGCACATGTTATACAAAATATAGATGTATTTTAATTACATTAACATTTCATTAGAGCTTTATATTTTACTGTAACATTTGTAATCGATAAATAGCACCGTTAGTCCGATGAACTGAATTCAATGAAACAAGCTACCAAAAATACATCTGACTTCTAATATAACTAACAACCTTTAACGTACATTTCTGATATGCGTATTTACCGGAGGGCCTCCGGGAGGTGGATGGATGATGTAACGGTCCTGTTGGCATTGTATTTGATTCGGGTATAAATGCAGCTACCAGTAATGCACATATCACAAGTAATGCACCAAACACAAATGGTGGCCCCGGTACAAGCTAAAATTCCAAGTTTTAACATCATTAACAGTATAATATTTTGTGCAAGCGACAGGATATAGAAAATATTGATTTATAGTCAACGTACCTGGGTTACTAACTGTGGTATAATATCAGGATGTTGTGTGGCAGTTCCTGTTTTATTATTTTCATCTAAAGGAGATGATTTAGCAGGAAGGGGAGAATTATCGTTGAGATCAACGCGAAACAGATAAAAAATTACTCCAAACATTGCAGGGCCAAGACCATTACACAGTCCACGCATCCCAGTTACCATGCCTTGTACCAAACCTTGCTTATCGGCATCAGAATGCATGGATATGAATGCTGAGATGGCAGGATATGTAATACTTGACACAGAAGCGAGTACTCCGGCTACCCACACCATCCTATAAAGAATATAGATGAAATAATGTTAAAAAAAGTTCAAGTAGTTTCTCCTCGTATAAAATTAAATAAGAAACATTACCATGTTTGTGAACCAAAGCCGAACCACATGAGTTGTAACATTTCAAATAAGAGGCCTAACATTATAGTATGTTTACTGCCAAGTGTCTTTATTAGAAGACCTAAGAGACTTTGAACTCCGACGCTTAAAATTCCTACTGCAGCAATAAAAAATGCTACCATCAAAGCAGTAAACCCCATAACTTTAGCCAAGTAGACAAATATACAACTATATTGTCCAGCTTCAGGAAGATAGCTCAGGAACACAGTAATACACAACATTAAGATAGTGTGATCTTTGCCAACCTGAAATTTTATAATTAATACGTGTATATCGGAAATTTGTTCCCGAATAAATATTTGACTTCCATGCGATCTAAGAATTTATAAACTCGTTTAAAATAGAATTTCAAGAATTCCTAAATGGTATATCTATTTTTAGACATGATCTTGCTAATTTGGATTGATTTCAAGTACATTTCCATTATATATGCTATAATGAATCACTTGCCTTTCCAAGGTAAGCAAAAGGATCTGCCTGCTCCCAAGATATAGGTGCTGGTGGACGAGCTTTTTCAGGCAAACTTTCAGGTACAGCCACTAATATAAAAAACACATCCAACACTGCGATAGAAGTTGCCAATGCAACCACAAGATTTTCTCCATATTCTTTCATAATGTAATCTCCCAATGCTGGACTTATTACCATACTTGCAGCAAAAGTTGCTGATACCTAATGAAAAGTGTTTATGAGACACAATATCATAGTGAAAATAGTTTTTTGCAGTTTGAATTTATAATACTTACCATACCATACGCTGCAGATCTTTGATGTTCTTCTGTTACATCAGCAACATATGCGAATACCACTGAGAATGTACAAGCAAAAACACCGCTGATGGAAATCATAGCAAAGAACCACCATGTGTTGATGCTCATTAAAGGAATCGGCGCACATGTGAAGGCTACTGTAATAAGTAGAAAGAACTTTCGTCCCCACACATCGGACAGAGCACCTATCAATGGCGCGGAAAGAAATGACAAGATTCCTTTAATGCCCATTATTAAACCATTCATCAGCAACGTATGATTTGGAAATGTGATATTCAGTACGGAGATAACAGGCATGGTTAATAAACCCCATGCAAAAAATTCCAAAAATATTACAACCAGAGCATGGTACACGCTTGCCTCTCCAATACCAGAACTCTGAAAAAGAAAAATAACAAATCATATATGCTTGACTTCCCTCGACAATCAGTTAATACACAATTCATAAGCAGCCATGATATCTATGTGTTGTTCCAGCCCATGGAACAATAAAATATTGTATGACAGAACGAAAGGATAACTTCTTAGATTTTATCAAATCTATAAGCACTTTGCAAATCGTGACAGCTGACCTTAAGATGCCTGTAGCATTGCTGAGCAAATGTAAGAGGAGGTGTGAGTTTAGCAATAGCATGTTCTTGGCTGTTGTGAATTTCAGAACAAGAGGGGCCCAGGCCCTCTGCTCCACCTTTTGCCCCAGGGGGCATGACCCCTAAGAGTCGCTACTATATATACCTTTCCATACTTATCATTCTAGCAATTTTCATTTATCAGTTGTTCAGATCCATATAATACTGTAACGAATAACTTTCACTTAGCACCATATCAATTTTTAATTATTCAACCTAACCTTCATTAATTAAAGATTATTATTATTACTGTGCTTCTTTGATTATATTTACATATTAATTCCAATTCAAAGCACTATTTCAGTAATCCGCATTCTCTTCGTTTTGGTAAATATTTTAGTTGGATCATCAATTTTTAAACTTGCTTCTATACATATTCTTATTGTATTTCGTATATCATTTCATCTAACAAAATGTAATATATTTATTCTTATATTTTACATAGATTATATTATTCTTAGCTGTATACATGTATAAAATAATTGAATTCATAATTGCAACAAGCTTCTTTCTTATCCTCGCAAGATTAGTTCCTCATCGTCATAAGTATTGGTGTTAACAAAGGATAAAAATATCCACCTTAAGAATATATGAAAGTTATTGTACGATAAGTTATTGTAATACAATTTAATATGGTAAATTAAACAAGATATCCAGTGACATTATTTAATTCTCTTCGTTTGATTAATTCTATAGACTTCCTTTATCATAATTATTTTTCTATACATTTCAGATTCTCCTCTCGTTCGGAGAAACAATACCCCTCGTCGTTATTACTTTATTTAATCCTCCTTTCAAAAATAGAATTTTCAAACAAAAATTCAACCTTTGTGCAACGTTTCAAAGGTATATTATCACATACTGTAACTTCTGTAACTAGTGCTACATTGTGTTTAAAATATTTAAAAATTCAGAGGAGTCTTTTTCTTTACATAGTGCCATTCCAGAATGTTTCTTTCAACCATATTTTATTATAAAGCGAAATGTTCATGTGTTCGTTAGACAATCTCTCGTTCGTTATCAATAATTCGATCCAAAAAAATTCGTTTAATATAACTTGAGAAAATATATCATTTGTTATAATGTGCGTAGTTTTTTACAAACATTGACCAGCTGACAGTTAAATAGTCTAACATTCGAATTTTCAGCGAGATTTCTTTGACAGCGTTACATTGAGCGTGTGTCAAAAGAATGGTACGATCGGTGACGGATATAAACTGATACGTCGAGCGAAGTACACCTTCTCAATTTTTATGTTTTTTGATGTCATAACTTATTGTCAGCACTTCTCCCTCGTGATTCCCAGAAATTCGTGTTTCACTGACGCTTTTTACGTTACGGTGATCGTCACTTGAATCTTTTTCAATGGAACTATTCGAAATTTTAGAGGAAATCCCGAACCACTGCATTGCAACTCCGACCACCGAAACCCCCCTACTTTTTACGATGCGTGCTATAGTCTTTTCGTCGTAACATCACGCTGAATCTAACCTACAAATCTATCCACGAGATATAATGTACCGTTCATCGTACATTTTAAGAGGTACGATCGAACGGGGAATCGTTTCGCTCTGAAATATTCTAAATTCATGGATTTTCCATTGTTCCCTGCATAATAAAAAAAAGAATTACCACTTATAAAGTGTACATTGTTGGCAGTTGATCAATATGCGCAAGAACGGTATCGCTCGTAGAACATGTACATATACAATATAATGCTAATAAAAAAAAAGAGAAATATAAATAACAAGATTTTAATCAAAGGAAAATATAAATATTCCACGATAGAAACATGTGACGAATTTATTGTCACGAGCGTGGAATTTATAGTTTCGCAAGATAAATCATAATCATAATGATAGTATTCACTTTTGTTTTCAACTGTTCGTGCCTTTTTAACGATACCGATAAATATTTTACAATAACAGCGGAAATATTTTTTCACAATTGTAATTAATGCATACACAATTTTTTGAAAAGTATCTTTTGTATTCGATATACTTAATTATGATGAACTTAAAGCTTACCATATTGTTCCTCTAAAACATGCATATGCTTTATTTCTTACTTGGTACAACTTAAATTTAATATTCATATATTTACTTTGTGACAATAGATTTTAAATTCAAAGAATATTTTTCCACAGAGTTCGTTATCTAAACGGATAATAGCAAAGATGGGAAACTAAATATATTGTTCTACAATTATTTTACACAAGTACTTATCTCCTTTGTTAAAAAAAAAGAAAGAGCTTTGAAGATAACAGCTAACGGTTAAAATTCAACAGTAATTCATGAAGTCAAAAAGAACATGAATAATAAAAATGATATAGTCTATGGAAACATTACACCATTCGTCTTTATTTATAGATACCTCTGTCAAATGTTATCTGAAGTAAAACACAAGGTATTCCATAGATTATCAGCTATACATTTACAATTATCTTATGTCACGTTACCAGATAAAAATGAAACAAAGAAGCTGGTTGCATGTCGTTCTTTAACAATCGTAATATACGAGGAATGTATAGAAGTTGAAGACGTTCAATGCGCATTATATTTGAACATTAATAGGATTATTATTTCAACGCCATATGTTACAATCAGCATTAAATATGTATATATATATATATATATATATATATTGAATTTAAGAATCGCATGAAACGTAGACTTAATACAAAGACATATTAAATTGGGTAATACATCTTTCAAAGTCTCAATTATTTTCTATGAAACGTGTGAATGTCATTTAACAACAATGCTCTATATGAAAATGAATCTCGCTAACAGACATACATGAAAATGAACAAAGATCCAGCCATGTGTCAATGCTATGTAATTACAATGTAATCACGCTAAAACTCACACAAATCTCGCCAGTCCTGAACGTTAAAATATTTAAATAGCGTCTAATCGCGAGATATTGTTATTCTCTATTTTATGCACTACTTGACGACAAATAAACAAAGAATATTATGTCATCACAAATGTCATGCTTCGAACGAAAAATTCGTACTTACTTTTAACGCGGAACATAGAGAAAATATAGAGAAAAAGGATCAAAGGTGTAACTTAAAAATCTAAGAGATATTAAACTGAATTGTTCAATACCGTAATGACCCCATCCTTAATAATGAATTTTCGGCTTCGTACGATCATGCCCACGACCTTCTTTGAGACCTTGGCGGGCATATTCACGCACTGCGCGCACAGACTCTTCCGCTTTTTCAGTTTCATTAATTCCTAAAAATTCGATGACACTGTGCGAGTCATTTTTCTGTGATACCCCTCACGCGAACACTAAAAAGCAATTCCAGCTTCAAATTGTTCTTGGATTTGTATCTACATAATGTAACAATCCACAGTTAACCATGTCCGCAGACTACTACAGACCATCAGGTAAGTGCAATATATTTCACAGAGAACATAGAGCGGAAACTACAACGGTCAGAAAATTCATGCGCGAACCAAGCGCCGCAGAACGTCCATTTCGAGAAACATAACCTCCGCAGTTAACATCTCGCTATTTATTTGTTAAACCCGAACATTTTCTCACTGAATTCATTGCCAGAACACAGAATTAAAACACTAATTCTCGATATTAATGATAAAATCATGTACATTTTGTAGATTAAATTTAACACGAAAGTCAATGGTGCTGCCATCCGATGATGAAAGCGTCGAACTTGAAAAATATTAAAGCTACCCGACGATAAATAAATAATTTCCGTTTGGTATTGATGAAATGCATAAAATTAATTCAATATAACGATGCACAATTCTTACTAAAATATTTCATCTTAAATTAAACACTTCCTCCTATTTACTGTTTCAAACGTGTATTCGATGACCGCTCAGTTCTACCAGTCGGACGCAAGATGGCCGTTATATTTTTCCATCCGTACGCGACGTTTTTCTATAAAAATCTGTACAGTTATACTAATTGTCTATATTTGAATTTCAAAATCACCGCATACGACTCTAACGAGCAACGCGATACCCGCGATAATTATTTTAAATTGCTATCCTCGAAAATTTCCTATTTCCATAAATTCGCAGTTTGACGCATGCGCCGCAGGATGGCGCCACGAGCCGCTTTTTTCGCGCCGAATTTATTTGGTCAAACCTCGTAATGGTGGATGCGAAGTAGTTAAGAATAAAAAAAAAAATACATCTCGCCAAGGCCGTTAAGTTACTATTTCCACTAATACCTTTTCGATACCACGCCGTTTCATGTTGTCCGCATTATCTCCGCATATATCCGATAACTACTTGACAGATCGAAAACGATGACGTCCAAGGAGGCAGCACACAGTCGTTCCCCAAATAAAAGGTACATTTAGCACGCGTCGAGAGAAGAAACATCCCCGAATGATTTGTTCGTTTTCTAAAAGGGAAACGTGACCTTGGCCAGTCGATATTTCCAACGTTAACGCAACGGAAACGGTAGATCACTCGGCATAATTGTTCGGGCACGGTTCTCGTATCTGGCTCGTTATTAAAAATTCCAACGACTAAAGAGAGAATAATCACTGTCGTATAATTTTAACCGCCGGCGTTCCGGTCGAAAAAGGGACTGACTGATAAAGTATTATCGAAAATAAAATAAAACCGCCGGAAACGGTTTCCAACGGGCTGCGGATCGGCCTTGCCCGATAACGCGTATCGCGTCTCGTGTGCACGCCGCATGAATTTATAACTTGATCATCGTGAACGCATAGCGCCGCCAGGGCGCGCTCTGCTCAGTGAAAAAAATGGTAGTTATTTGGGTGTAGTCGGGCGATTATTCTGCAACACAAATGTGAGTACCGGCTGACTAAGGGATTACGAGTGGTGTTTGTCAGTGCCGCGCGAAGCTAATATGACCGGGTCTATATCGGAGGTAATGGAACACTCGGTAACCGAACGGGTATCATACATATACGCACGAGATCGCGACACTATGTAGGTATTGTTGTTCACGCATCTCCGCATGACAAGTACTACCCCGCGGGTCTTCTCCGTGTATTTTATCAGTCAAAAATCCGGGATAGGCTCGTGACGTTCCCGAAGGATGGACAGATCTGAATCGATAATGGGGCCTGGAAGCCCCTCACCGCCGGACAATACGTAAAATATGCACTGACGCGATATTTTTGGGATAGATGTCACATTATCTTCTCCGTGACCGACTATATGCGCGCGTACGAATATGTGTGCGGCATTTATTTGATTTGTGCTGTATATATGTGCGTGTGCGTGTGTGGTATGTGTGCGTGACTGTGTGCTATGCGCGCGTGTATGCGTGTGCGTGCGTGTGTGTATGTGTGTGGTAACTTCCTCTTCACCCCGTAATACGCAGTCGTTCCCTGTGTACGTACGTACGTACAGCATGCAGTGCGACGATGTGTCCGGGAGATACGTATATCACGGTATATACGTAAGACCTGCTACTCGCTATATACTGTCAACATTTTTCAAGTGACTGTTTCATGATGCTTGACAACATACTGCGTTATTGACGAAGTACATTTTTTTTTTTCTCTCGCTCTCCCTCGTTTCCCCTCTGCCGCCACCCCTCTCCTCATCCCTCCGGCAACCAAGAGTTTTCATTTTCTTCGTTTGAACCCAGCATTCCCGCGGCCGTCACGTTATTACTGTTGATGAAAATACTGAGTGTTCACCTTGTTGACAAATAACAAAATACTTTGTACGAAGAACGTTCGTTGGTCGTGTGTGTGTGTGTGCGTGTGTGTGGTGTGTGCGTGCGTGTCTCTCTCTGTCATGTGTATGTGTGTATGTGTGTGTGTATCTGAATGTGCTTCTTGTCTTCTAGGTACACGTCGCGTGTGTACGTACACGTACTCACGCACACGCAAACACATGCACGCATGCAAAGAGCACTAATTCCGAGATCGGTTGCCCTCACATTTATTGGCAGTGGACGTGATCAACATTATGCTATCGATGCTGCTAAATTTATACAAACCGTACAGTATACAAACGTTTGCAAAACAGGAATTGCATAGTGCCACAAGAAAGATCACACGCACGTATATATGTATATATGTATATATATAATGCATATATATATATATACCATACACGCATACGTACACATACACTCTCTCTCTCTGTCTCTCTCTCTTTCTCGCGTTCACACGTATACGTGCACACATGTATGCAGACGTATATACACGCGCGCGCAATTCTGCCCTCTGTAAAATAGATTAATTCAAGGTTTATTGATAGAATTCTATTTCAATCACAATGTTCTTGTGCCCCTGATTTTGTTTTTTTTATTCATGGAGAATGAGCTGTTGATTTTGTTGTATTTTTCATACAGTTGCTATGCAATTTGAACATTATTCGTGTATTTAACATATGGCATATATACAGGCATATATACACTGGCACACGAATATCATGCAGATTATTAGTAAAACTGTTGATATCGGTTGGTACACTGTATAAAATGAAATGTATTATAGAACAAAGATACATTGCTTTGGACAGTGTCATAGATTTCAATGTGCCAAATTACGATGAATACATTAATTCAGTGGGATTAACGGTTTTTTTCTTTTCTTTTCATTTGAACTGAAGAATGACAGTTGTTCGAATCTTCTGTATTAAGAATTACAATCATACGATGTTTAACCATCGATAATGCATTCATAGTTGTTGAAAATGATGCTATCGTTAAATAAATAAAAAGGGAACTTAGTTCGGGATTTAAGGTGTTTATATACTCCAATTTGAATTGAGCAGTGTTACATTTCTTAAATTGTTGCAACTATCGTGTATTTTGGGAAGGAAGTCTGTTTGGTCAACTTCATTGTACAATATTTTGCAATAACAATGAATCATTTTTGTAGATAAC